GGAGCTGAGGGAGAGCCGCCGGCGCGCATGCGCGAGGAGAGGGGGCGGTGCCCTGGGGCGGGGCCAGCGCGCGAAGCCGGCCTCTCGGAGCGGCGCTACGGTGCGAGGCGAGGACCACAAGACCTCGGCCAGCCCGCGCTCTTAAAGGGGCCGTGCCGCGTGCGCTTTCGGCTCCCAGGCTCTGCGCTATAGTTGGCAGGTGCTGGCCCACCTTCTGCCGCACCTTTAACGCTGAGGGACGCTATGCACGCAGGAACTACTAGTGCGCTCTTGGAACTGCAGCGAACATACACATGCTGGGATCGAATTCCCGGGGTTCTTCCTGGAACCAGAGGATCTGCTCTTGGCTTATGTCACACTGCCGGTGGCAGCAGCTCACTGTCTGTCTGTCTGCAAGCGTCCCCGGCCAGCCCCACGCCTTGCCTAGCTCACGGGTTAATCCTCATCCCAGGTGCTGCGACCTCCTGGGCGAGACCGTGGCTCCTCCCCTGCCCAGTGCGCTGAGTCCCCCTGGGGCAGCCCTCCCCCCACCTTCGACCACCATCACCTCTTCCCTCTCTGCTTTGTGTGATGCGCAGTCAATCCCCACATCCGGTCTGCAAACTGTTTGGAGCCCCCTGCGGCCCCTGGGCTGTGGGCAGGTGTGCTCCGCCTGCATCACAGGTGAGGCTGCGGCGGGGGGAGCGCGCACACCCTGCTCCCCGCTTCTGCAAACCACGTGGCTCTGACACGCCTGGAGGTGGTCCCCGCAGCCCCACAACCCCAGCCTGGGCTTGTGGGTACGAGGACAAAGGTCCCCTATTTTCCGATCAGGAGGACACAGGTACTACAGCAAACAAAGGGGCCCAGCGTTAGACGTGGAACCACGCCGGGAACTCGTGTGCGGTTGTCATAGATACGAGAGCTGAAGCGTGGCGGCTGCAGGAGCCTCCTCCCCAGACACAGGAGGCGGGCCATGGTGTGGACTGTGTCCAGCCGGCCGGCAACGCCAGCAGCACAGGCTTGACCCCCAAACCAAGCAGGCAAGGTCGCCCCACAGCCCACCCTGCAGGGTGGGGGGAGAGGTCGGCCTAGCCCCGCCCTCCCCGCAGGAGGCAGAACTTTCCAGGGCCCCCTTGTCGGGTGTTGCAATCAGTGGGGCAGGGCTAGGATCCTGAAACAAAACTGTCAGCCGCTAAAGCAGTTTAGCGGAAACGA